TCAATCGCCCTGTCTCTGAGTCTTATCATGTATACCGTAGAAGGGATTATATTTTTTGCATGTTTAGCAAGCTTTTATTTGCAAACAGTAGGGTAGGACATGCTTGTCTAGCGTCTGTGCTTGAACATGTTGAATCTGGGAGATCTCCTATGCCTACGTGCCTTGGAAAAACTTTGTGCGGCCTTGACGAAGCAAAAGCTGACCGGAAAGCCGTCAGGAAGGGCTCTCTAGTACTACTGCAGGTAAAAAAGCGCTCTAAGTATCCCCCATGACACAAAACAGGCACCGTGTCATGGTGTATGTCTGTCGTGACACGGTGAAACCTGCCATGTCATGGTGGGTTTCTGCAATTTTTTTTTTTTTAATTCTTCGACTGATTTTTTTTTTTTATTTTGCAGATTTGGTTGACGGAGCGTTTAGAACTTTTTAAAGCCCCCGACGATATTAAAAAATATGGTCCCAACGATCTAGTCCGCAGGAAGAAGAATTACTCTGCGAACATTTCGTATGAAGATTGGAAGAATTTCTTTGCAAAGAGAGAATTTTCCATTCGTTGGGTGGTGCCTTGGTGGAGGCTTACTAGGATGGCTAGCACAAATGATACTCCGTATTGTCGCGTTCCTAGTATTTCAAAGTTAACTTTTTATTGTCCTTCTCGATTTATGCGACAATATAGGCTTGAACAAGTAGTTCCACGCTATAACGATAGTCCTCATGAAGTATCGTTGCATGAAAGTAACATTCACAAGTATGAGGCTTATTGGGTTGGAAGACCTTTGTGCACCGTTTCTGCAAGTAACCAAGCTCCTCCTCCCTTATCTAGTGCATACAAGGCATGGTTGAATCCTAGAAGTAGAAGGGATCGAATTGGATCACGCAACTTTGATGTGAAGGGTCGTCTTGAAAGTAAGAAAGAGCCTCCTAAAGATTGTCTAGGTCCGAGAGCACAAGGAATTGAGTTTAAGACTCCTATAATGCCTAAAAAGAAGAATTACTTGAAAGGAAAGGATAAGGAGAAAATGGTTTATAGAGAGAAGCAATCAAAGAATTCTAAGAAAGGTGAAAGGGGTGAAAGTTCGACTAGGGGTGTGACGGTTTGGGCTACAAAAGACACATTAATGGTGAAGGCCAACCTAATTGAAAAGGAGAAGGAGGTTCCTAAAATGAAGAAGGATTAGATCAATATTGCTTTGTTTATATGATTTGTAATTTTTATTTTTAAAATAAGGCGCATGACGCAAATAATTGTAGTCACATTTATTTCAATAATAGCATATTTATTTTCGCCTTAAATAATAAATTACAATGACCGTTTTTATTTTATATATCCAAGTCAAGAAGTCGGACGCAATGGAAGAATAACAAACATCGAACAGAATTTGCAAAGTCTACGCCACGAAGCAATTTGCAAAGTCCACCGTGCCACGGTGGAACTCCCCATGGCGCGGCAAACTTTTTTTTTGTTTTTTTTTTTTTGGACTTCCACCGTGGCACGGTGGAAACTGTCGTGACATGGTGAAACTCCTCGTGGCGCAGCAATTTTTTTATTTTATTTTTTTTTTACTGCAATTCCACAGTGGCGCGGTGGTAACTACCGTGACACGGTGGAACTCCCCGTGCCACGGTGGACCCTAGATGCTGAACTTGGTGAATATTCTTGATTTTAGCTCCATTTTGTCATGGCGCAATGCTGAACTGGCGCGTGTACTTGATCGACGGAGGAAGGATTTTATTTTTTTTAAAGTTGTCGGGCCCCCTTGAGGGGTTGCCTACGTATCCTTAAAAAGGAATCAGGCAAAGCGTAGCTCTATTGGGTCATGAACCCATGCAACTAGACATATAATTTCTTGAGTTGATCCAAGTTGGTTAAATTGTGGAAACCGTTACCGTCCATGTCTACCAATTGTGCCGCTCCGCCAGACAAGATGGATTTAACAATGTACGGACCTGACCAATTTGGTCTGAATTTTCCTCTTGGATCCAACACATTTTTGCGAAGTGCCTTAAGCACCAAGTCACCTTCCTTGATGTTCCTAGTCTTGAATTTTTAATGAAATGTCGCGCCATACACTGTTGGTAGGTTTTGACATGATGCAAAGCTGCCAAGCGTTTTTCGTCAAGTAAGACTAGTTCATCATATCTTGCTCTAATCCAGTCGACTTCATCTAGTTGGCTTTCCAACGCGATTTGAAGAGAAGGGATTTCGAGCTCTATTGGTTGTACAACTTCAACCCCATAGACCAAAGAGAAAGGGGTAGCCCCTATTGATGTACGAACAGAGGTTCGATAACCCAAAAGGGCGAAATGTAGCTTACTTAGCCAATCTTTGTAATTTTCCGTCATCTTTTCGATGATAGTTTCCACATTTTTGTTGGCCGATTCGACCGCACCATTTAATTTGTTTGTGGCCTGTAAGGTGTTGATCTGTGATGCTTGATATGATATTTCTGTAGTAGTTCCGCGCACTCGGCTTGGAGATGCATTCCATTATCACTGATCATCTCATGAGGTACCCCATAACGGCATATGATATTTTTCTCAATGAGTTGAGCTACATGTTTTGCCGTTAACTTAGCATACGAGGCAGCTTCGACCCATTTGGTGAAATAGTCGAATTCTACAAGGATGAATTCATGTCCCCCTTGTCCTGGTGGCGAAATATTTCCACTGATGTCGATACCCCAAGTAGAGAAAGGCCACGGAGAAGTATATGTGTAGAGAAGCGAAGGTGGAACGTGCTGTAAATTTGCATAGACTTGACATTTCATACATTTCTTGACGTATTGGTGACAATCTCTCTCCATGGTAGTCCAATAATAACCTTGTCGTTGAATCTTCTGGACTAACATCTTAGCATTCATATGCGTTCCACATATGCCGGCATGAAGATTTTCCATGGTTTTGTGTGCTTCTTTCTTGGCTACGCATAAGAGATTTATCCCTAGTGCAGTCCTCTTATGGAGTTCTCCCATAATGAGCACATACTGTGAGGCAAGGAGCCTCAAAGCACGGCGTGCCCTTTTATTAGTATTAGGAGGGTATTCTCCTTTTGTCACGTAGTTAAGGATATCTGTATACCATGGCTCTTCATCTTCTTCTTGTGATTATTGTTCATCATCAAGTGCGTGAACATAAGCCGGCTCATATCTTCTTTCTATAGTCAATGGCATTTTGATTATATCTGTTGGAATTCGCACCATTGATGCTAATTTAGCCAGTGTGTCGACAAACTGGTTTTCTTCTCTAGGCAAGTACGTATATAAGTATATTCCACTTCATCTAGTTCTCCGTGAGAGTTTCCAGATGAGCTTGATACGTAGCAAGACTTTCACTTCTCATCTTCCATCTCTTGGAGATCTGGTTAATGATTAGTGATGAATCACCGTAGATTTTGAGCTTCTTAATTCCCAAGGCCACAGCTGTTTCTAATCCCAAAATGCATGCCTCGTACTCTGCGTCATTGTTGGTGACATCAAAGTTGAGCTTCATGGAAATCGGGATTTGCACTTCATTGGGTGATACGAGCAAGACCCCTACACCACAACCTTTTTGGATTGAAGCTCCGTCAAAGTAGAGCGTCCAGCTATCATCTTCGGTCATGAGTAAGTCTTCGTCAGGGAAATCGTACTCATCTTCTTCTTTCTCAACTTCTTCTAGCGGAAAATCTGCTAAGAAGTCAGAAACCGCAGAACCTTTGATGGCTTTTTGTGATACAAATTTCAAGTCAAACTGAGCAAGGTTGACTATCCACCTTGATAATATGCCATTGAGTGTTGCTTTTTCGAACAAGTACTTGAGAGGATCCATCTTGGACATGACATGCACTGTATGAGTAAGCATGTAATGTCTTAGTTTCTGTGCGGCCCACACAAGTGCGAGGCACAACTTTTCGAGCGGTGTGTATCATGTCTCATATCCTTGAAGCTTCTTGCTCAAATAGTAAATTGCATTCTCCTTGATTTTGATCTCGTGTGCTAGCATTGCCCCCATCGTTTCTCTTGTGACCGTAAGGTAAAGTCGAAGAGGAAAGTCAAGCATTGATGGCGCTAGCACGGGTGGGTTTGCCAGGTACTCTTTGATTTTGTCGAAAGCTTTTTGGCAATCATCATCTCATGTGACTGGGACATTTTTCTTAAGCTTCTTGAATATAGGTTCACATATCATCGTGAGTTTTGATATGAACCTACTTATATATTGCAGCCTTCCAATGAAGCCTCGAATTTATTTCTCATTCTTGGGTGGTGGCATGGCCATGATCGCTTTGATTTTTGTGGGATCTATTTCAATCCCTCGAGAACTGATCACATATCCAAGTAGTTTGCCTGACGTGACTCCGAATGCGCACTTTGCTGGATTTAATCTCATGTAGTATTTGCGGAGTCTTTCAAAGAACTTGCGAAGTGCAATGATGTGGCCTGGGCGATCTTTTAACTTGACGATCATATCATCAATGTAGACCCATTAGTGCAAAACTAACCTTAAGTAACACCCACAAAGTGATACATAAAGTGATAAAAGTGTTATTATAGACAATAGGTAACACTTTAGTGGGTAATACATCCGCCCATGTTACCTAAGGTCTTATATAACATTTTGGGTAAAGTATAGTAACACTTTTTAAAGTGTTACTATAAACCCTCTTATGTAACACTTTTTTATATTATTGGTATCATTTTTAAAGTGTTACTTTTATTTCTTATGTAACACTTACTTATCTTTAGTAACATTTTTCAATCATATAGTAACACTTTATCCGACATTATGTATCACTTTTACAAACCAATGTAACACCTCGTTGATTATTAGGTAACATTTTTCAAACATCTTTTGACATATTGTATCACTATATTCGATATTATGTATCAGTTTTTGCAAATTAATGTAGCACTTTATTAATTAATTGGTAACATTTAAATATAATTATAATTATAATAATAATTATTACTCACTAGTAGAAAAAAGTGTAATCGGCACTAGTTCAAAGCCGGCTTAGGACACCCGTTCAAGTGCCAAATCGTTGCCCCTAACATAAATAAGTGCCACTGTGCCTTTTATGCCTACAAAAATGTGAAATTGATAAACAAGCCATTGTATATATGTATATGTATATAAACTTATATATTATGAATAATAAATGCTTGTAATATTACAATTTCATCAAAAAAAAAAAATACAATGAACCAAACAACAGGCCAACAGCAGCTTGGAAATAGAACAGCGGCAGCTCAGAAGGAGAACAACAACAGCTCGGAAACCGAACAGTAGCAGCACATAAGAACAGCACAAGCAGTAGCAGAACAACAGCAGCACCTATGTAGAGCAGCAACAACAGTAACAGAACAGCAGCAGCATATGCAGAATGGCAGCACATATGCAGAACAGCAGCAACATGCAACAGTAGTAGTAGTAGCATCAAGTAAGCATCAAAACCTAAGTACATATACTTGCTATAAAGAAATCTTCTATAAGTAAACAACTTAACATTACATCTTATAAGTTGGAAGAATATACAAGATTACAGCTTACAGCAACCCTTTCCTCTAATCATTCTAAAATTTGCCTCACCTTCCAATATTACTTTGGGTTCAATTGGAGCAAATCAGTAAAGTAAACCAACTTCGTTACATACCCTTGCAATTAAAGTGTGGACTGTCGAGCGTAACCTAGCTCTTTGCTCGAGCACAAAAGAAAAAGAAAGCCTTCATTGCACCAGTAGCAGCCTATGTCACTCTCTTTGTCATACTTACAGGTGGTTTTCTTTCATTTTTGGTCTACACAAGAAGAAAGAAGCAAAGTATGAAACTTATTATATTCTAATGTTGATCTTTATCTCTCATTATTTAGTTAGCCACAACACTATGCTCAAGAAGATAATAGTTGGATCATTTCATGCAGAATCATTAATAATAGAAGCTAAGAAACATCTAGCTACAACCAACATACAGGAATCCAGAGTTATAGTCAAGGAAAGGGTAGAATAGTGCGATTACTTATTCAGAGATAACAAACCTGACAAAAGGCTTTCGGAGAGAACTAGAAATAGGTGGATTTGCAGTTGATTGAAAGATGGAGTGGAAGTTGCTATTGAGATGCTCTCTCCTTCAATTAATTTTTCTGAACAATATAAAACTGAGGGTTAATTAGGATCAAACTGCACTAATGAAGCTATTTTTTGTCATGAAACATATAAATTGATGATGAATTTTTCAATTTGAGTGACAGGTTAAGCTCTTAATGTCCATTTGTCATAATATTTTGGTCTCTTTAACAGGATAATGTGACGAAGGATCCATAAGGAAAAGCTGTGAAAGCATTGGGATTTATTCTTCAAACTCATCAAACCTACGGCCAAACTCCTTAAACCAAAGAACACATCCCTAAATTCACAAATTGTTACATCTCAAAATATACTCTGCAATCTACATCCTACTCCCTTACTTGGCATTTCATCCAATAACCAATTAAAACATCAATATTTGTATACATAACTGACAAAATATGATGTCAGATTGTAATACTCTAAAACTCGATTAAATTAAAACTAATAGGCTTCATTTTCCATTTATTATTTAACATTATAGAATTATATCAAAATAATTAGTACTCATACATACTAAAATTAATTTAGCAGTCATATTTTTGTAATATACATAGAGAATATATACTACTGATTAAACTAATCCAATCAACAATTAAGCACAAATAAAATGCTAAAAAAACCAATTACAAGTTGAAATAGAAGTAGTGTTATTTGTACAAATAGTGTTGAGCTAGAAACCCTAATTTAAAAAAAATAAAAAAATCAACTATTATAATCTAAATTATGGGAATTAAACATGAAATTGAAACGAGAAAGAAGAAAAACCTGAGAATGTTGTAGTTTCATGAGATTAATTAGGGTTTGATAGGCGAAATTGAACTTGAAATCGGAGTATCGAACACCACCACTATTCCAACTTATCTATCCTCTAGTTCGTGATATTCCGCCATTTTTTTTTTTTTTTTGTGGATGTGATCTTCTGCGGCTGCTCTTTCATCTTTGAGAAGAGAGGGAAGGAGGGAGGAAGAGGGAGAGAGAAGAAAGAATGGCTGATTGAGCGAATGAGAGGAGGAATGAAAAAGAAGACATCGAACGCAAAAATAAAAGCTTGGGGGATGGAGAAATAAGAGGGATGAATAAAGTTGTGAGGCTGTGACTATGGGTCTGTGGGTGGATTACTCAATTTTAATAAAAATATTGATAAAAAAAAAAAGGATAGTGCATATATAAAATTAAGTGTTTTTGTCTTTTACAAAAAATGTTTTTCCTCTTCAAAAAAATAAATAAATTAAGACCTATTTTTTTTTAAAAAAAATGATACAACCAAGTGCTACCTAGTATCAAAGTGTTACAATAAAGTGCACTTTGCTGGATTTAATCTCATGTAGTATTTGCGGAGTCTTTCAAAGAACTTGCGAAGTGTAATGATGTGACCTGGGCGATCTTTTGACTTGACGATCATATCATCAACGTAGACCTCCACTTCTTTGTGCATTATATCATGTAACAATGTTGTGGCTGCTCTTTCGTAGGTAGCACCCGCATTTTTCAACCCAAATGACATTACCGTATAGCAATATGTACCCCATTGTGTGATGAATGTGGTTTTATCCATATCTTCCTCGGCCATTAATACTTTATTATATCTGGCGTAGCCATCCATGAACGATAGGAGTGCATGGTTTGATGTGTTATCAACCAGAATGTCAATGTGAGGTAGAGGGAACCCATCTTTCGGGCTTGCCTTATTGAGGTCCCTTTAATCAACACACATTCTGACCCTTGTATCCTTCTTTGGAGCTGGAACCTCATTTGCTATCCATTCTGGATACTTAGATACTTTGATGAAACTTGCAGCCAATTGCTTTCTGATTTCTTCCTTGATTTTGAGAGCCACATCCGGTTTCATCCGGTTTCTGGAATGAGTGGTATCGTATGCTGAGCTATATCCCTGTCAATTCCTGGCATATCTTGGTATGACCAAGCAAATACATCAACAAATTCACTAAGAAAGTTAATTAGCTCTTTGCGTTCGTCTTGACTTAGTGTTAATCCAATTTTTACTTCTTTGATAGTTGTATCATTGGAAATAATAATTGTTTCTGTATCTTCGATAATTGCTGTTTTATTTTTGTGTTCTTCCATTGCTTTTATTATTTCTTTGTCATTTTTATCATTAGCAAAGCAATATTGATCAGGGTTAGGGGAATGACACGCATCGTAAGCAAAGGTATTCATTTTATTGAATTCATTGGTCATTACATCAAGGAGAGCAAGGTCAGCTGCGACCTCGCCGGAATTATTTAGGATAGAAAGAGGAGACTCGACAAGAGACTCAGGACTGGACTCTATAGCAGAAAGAGGGTCGGCCTCAGATCCTAAAGACTCGTCTACAGACTTAGACTCAGACTTGGACTCGGACCCAGACGACTCAGATTCGTCAAACATAGGATCTTCGCCAGCGGTTATTTCCAACTTCTCTCCGCTTGGCGTAGTGATCTTCACCGTCTTGTGCCACCCCTTTGAAACATTATCATCCTGGACGATTAACTCTGAGGGGTCAAAATCCTTGCTTGATATAACAGCTTGAATGAGCTTGGAATCATCATTGCAGACAGGCTTGGATTCATTCTTTTCTAGTCCAAAAAGAAGGTTAATGTTCAGATCATTAGAGCTTGGACTAGCTGGTTTCTCAGTTGTGAAGAGTTCATCGCCTTCATCGACGAAGTCATAATTAAGGAACATCTCGAACCCTAGCTCACGCTTCCCACTGTGGACGAAAGGCTCAGGGAATTCATAGCATGGGAAGTCTTCCCATTCTTTGATATACTGACCATTGAGAGTGAATGGATATGGGTCCATGGCCATTTCCGTCTTCATGATTCGAGCATTATTGCGAGCCTTCTTTTTCAGGAGAGCTTGTTTCACATCTTCCTTTGTTGGCTTGAATCCCAAGCCAAAGGTATCTTTCTTAAATGCACCAGGATGGCCCCAAAGTTCAGACATTTTCTTTTGGAGTCCGAGGGTCATTCTAGGGAAATGCCCTTGCTTCTTTATAATAGCATTAACATTGTTATTTGAATAAGGATCAAAGTCGAGGTGAGACTTCTCCTCTTCTTCGATCATGAGAACATCATCCAGCAAAAACCCCCAGAGATCTTCATCATGTTCGACATGGATGATGGAAGTATCGATTACTTGAATGTGCATGGGGGAGGCATTAATTGTAATTGGAACCCCTCCAACTATGGCTTTCACTTTTTGGTGCAACGACGATGGGATCTCCTTTAGCTCATTAAGCCAAGGACGTCCTAACAACAGATTGAAAGAAGCCTTAATGTCCACCACCTGGAACTTGGTGCGACGTTCAATGGCTCCAGTAGTTATGTTTAGCATTATATTACCCACGGCTTGATGGCGAGTGTTATCATAAGCACGAACCCCTTGAGTAGAAGGAGTCAATTCTTCATTTTTTATGCCCAACTTCTTTGCAGTGCGGAGTGGGCATACATTGATTGCAGAGCCATTATCAACCAGGCTCATAGGAACATTCATCTGCCTACACACCACAGCGAGATGTAAGGCCTTGTTATGTTGGTCCCCTTCTAGGGACAAATCCTTGTCAGAGAAGGAAATCAGATTGCTAGTACTTGGCAATTCAGTAGTGAGAAAGTTGACCAGTCCTTGAGGAGTCATATCATTATCAACTCCTATCTTCACCAAATCATTCATCACAGCCTTTCGATGCTCGTGAGAGGTGGCCAAAAGTTTCCATACCTTCATTTCCACCTTGCTCTTGTGTAATTGTTTGACCACATCGTTGTTCAAAGGGTCGATGGGATCAACTATTGGTTGTGATTGCGGTGGAGGTGGAGGTGGACTAGGCTGTTGCAACCGTCCACTTCTGGTGAGAATCTTGACCTCAAGGTCTCCCCAAAAATCTTCACTTGTGCCAAGAGACGAACATGTTATATCTTTAAGATAGACATCTTCATCGTCACTATCCCAAATTCCATTTACTTCTTCATAGTTCGAGACAAATACAACTTCTGGCAAAGATTCATTCACAGGTTGAATGAGTATTTACGGATCAAAGGAGACTTTATCTCCCATGATAACCAAAGCATCAGAAAGAGGACATGTTTGAATGTTAGGCTTCTTGCCCCCTGGAGGGACAGGAAGTTGATTAGCATCAATCAGGTCTTGGATCGCATCCTTCAACCTCCAACACTTCTCAATAGTATGACCCTTGCCTTGATGAAACTTGCAATGAGCATTGGGGTCATAGCTAGCAGTTCTGTTCTCTGGTCGAGGTTCTGGAAAAGGTCCAATTGGCATAATCAGTCCTTGACTATGCAAGTGATCAAAAGCAGCATCATAAGTCATTCCCAAAGGCGTGTAAACCCTCCTTTGCCTTTGGAATCTTTGAGGGGGAGCATTAAGAGCCAGCACATCATTGATATTGATATTGTTGGTAGCATTATTGGGCTTGGAAGACGAAGAAGAAGGAGTGTCGTTGTAGACACCCATTTGTGTCTCCCCAAAACCAAACCCACTGATGAGTACCTTTCACGTCGAATCATAATCGAATAAAGTGAAAGTGTGGAAAGTTTAGTGTTGCGGATAGTTTTAATTTCTTTTCTCTTCTCTCTGTTTTAGAAAACCTATTTTAAGAAAACAGCCAATCCAGTTTGGTTGTTCCATGATATGGGTCCAATAATAGTGTAGTTGTTTGGGGCTTGAAAAGATCTTTCCAACGATATATTATAAGCCCAATTCAGATGAATATTGAGGAAGTTATGGCCAAATTATTGAACTGGGCCTGGTTTGGGCCGCATATAGGGGAGGGCCTAATATGGATTTATCATTCCTAATGCAATTAGGAATGGTTTTAGTCTTCTAGATTCTTCTAGAAGGGTTTTTTTTCATTCCTAATTTAATTAGCATTGATAAATTGACTTTTGTTGACTTTTTAGAGTTTTAATCAGAATAAAAGAACGTTTTTTAGGAAAATACGATTTTATCCTCCTGTACGGCAATTTCTATCTGATTTTAAGAAAACGCGTGAATTTCTGAGTCAGCGCCAAACGCCAGCTGTAGCGCCTGACGCTACGCTTGGCGCCTGGAGCTAGCCTTAGCGTCTGGCGCTAAGGTCAACGTTTGACGCTAATCTGGCTTTTTGCGTTAGAACTCTGTTTTTGATGTTTTATCTTTTTGACTGATTTTCTCTATAAATAGCTTTCTAAAAACTCCATTTTCATTCACCAACTCTCATCAAGATTTTCTTGATTACTCTCTCTCTCTTTTCTAAACTAGCTTTCTCTCAAATACAAAAATTCCGCACATTAGATTTAGATACACCTAGCCAAATTCGAAGTTGCCTTCGCCCTAAACGTGAAAGGTTTAATTTCTGAGGGTTTGGTCCCAAATCTCTCTTTCAAACAAGTAAAAGCCATAGTTGGGGGAATTCCTATCACCATCAATGCTTCACCTATGAGGATCAAGTCCATAGAAAACCCAATAATTAATGTGGAGCACGACGAGGATGATGAAGATTTATGGGGCTTTAACGAAGAGGTCTCCTTAATCCAGGAGGATGAAAGGACCATATAGACACCCATTTGTGTCTCCCCAAAACCAAACCCGGTGATGAGTACCTTTCACGTCGAATCATAATCGAATGAAGCGAAAGTGTGGAAAGTCTAGTGTTGCGGAAAGTTTTAATTCTTTTCTCTTCTCTCTGTTTTTGAAAACTTGTTTTAAGAAAATAGCTAATCTAGTTTGGTTGGTCCATGATATGGGTCCAATGGAAGTGTATTTGGATGGGGCTTGCAAAAACCTTTCCAACGATATATTATAAGCCCAATTCCGATGAATATTGAGGAAGTTATGGCCAATTTACCAAACTGGGCCCGGTTTGAGCTTTATATACGGCCCAATGATCTTGGGGAGGGCCTAATATGATTTATCATTCCTAATGCAATTAGGAATGGTTTTAGTTTTTTAGAATCTTCTAGAAGGTTCTTTTCATTCCTAATTCAATTAGCATTGATAAATTGACTTTTGTTGACTTTTCAGAGTTTTAATCAAAATCAAATAGCATTTTTGAAGAAATTATATGATTTTATCCTCCAGTACGGCAAATTTATTTGATTTTCAAAAACGTGTTAAAATCAGGCTTGGCGCCTAACCCTAGGCCTTGACGCCTGGAACCAGGCTTTGCGCCTAGCGCTAGCCACTGGCGCTAGTGTTGGTGCCTGGCGCCAGCTAGCCAGAGTTGGCGCCAACTCTGTTTTCTTCGCGTCAGACTCTGTTTTGTTTAATTTATCTTTTTGGCTGATTTC